TTCGAAAGCACAAGGTCCCGAGTTTGATCCCCGGTAGACACACACACTCACACACACACACACACACACACACACACAATATATATATATATAGCTGGGCACAGTGAAGCACGCCTGTAATCCCAGCACTCTGAGAGGCTGAGGCAAGAGGATGGCAAATCTGTGCATAGCCTGAGCAACTTTGTCACTCAGTAAAACCTTGTCTTAAAATTTTAAAAATCAAGGGATATAGCTCAGTGCAAAGTCCTGGGTTCAATTCCCAGTACTAAAAAATTCTTTAAAAGATATTTTAATTCCTGGCCCCAAATGCAAAGTTAATTACTCTTTAATACAATGTTTTTAGTATTGCAATACTTTTTCACTCAAGAACCAAGTACCTCATAAAAAAAAAAACTGTATTTCTGAAAGTAAATGAAATTGGGGTTCAAATAGATTTCAAGTCACTCAAAATATAAAGGTCCCCAGTGCCTATAAATTACTAAACTTCAGTTGATCTCTGTCTTTTCCTGATTTCTGATTAAAGTTTTATCATATATTAATTATTGTTTTGAGCATGGGCTCCTAATTTCACTAAGTTCACCAGCTCTAGACGCCTACAAATATGTTTTGCTATAAATTACTGGCACTGTTTCTGTTGATATTCAGCATAATCAAACATTTGTAAGCATGCTGTCTTTTCAATCTGTTCAGCTGATGCACTTTACCTGATCTTTCATTAAAGTAATCAAAACACTTGCTGTGTCGCATCTAATGAATGTTGCATGTATGATTAAGTGCTTTCATTCATATTGCAAGTTTGATTTAATGTAATCTGCCTTTCAGACAGCCATTAGCCTAGCTCCTACATGAATTCGATTAATTGGCTGAATTCTTCCAGATGTCCATTAAGCATTACAGGAATTTCTATGTAGGAACAGCAGGGACTGTCTAGCACAGACCCAAACAATGAAATGTTATATTGCTGTCATGACTTACAAAAAGCTGGATTCATTTTCATTAATAAAACATCTGTACTCCTGCACAGCTATGCATTGAGATGCATTTATTTTATATGTTTATTTCTCTTATGACTGTAAAAAGATAGTTAAACAGAAGCACATTTACTGATATGGAGGCCCAGGGTTTAGCAGATGCTGATTGACAAAACAGTTCAATTTCTAAAGTTTAGAACAGAACAGAAGAAAGTATATGAACAGACACCTGTTTGGAACAGAATGAAGGAGTACCTGGGATCACCACAATAGAAGCATTAAAATGACATTAGAGACTTATTTTGAAAATGATTTGATTGTCCTGCCCACTCCCAACCATCAGTTCTCTTTAAGAGTAAAGGGTAGAGGTGGCTGTTGCAAGGACAACTTGTTCAGTTGTTTTGGATCACTCTGTGCATCTTTTTACTTTCTGTGTTTTGTTTTTTGTGTTGCCAGTTCTTAAAGAATAGGTAGAGATTTAACTTCGTACAGACACTAGCTCAGTACAATTTACCATCCAATAAATGCAATTTACTGATCATTTTGGAAATGTACTACAAGTGCTAATTGAAAGGGAAAAAAATGAGTTTTAGAAGAAGCCAGTATTAGACAAGGACAGTTACATATGCTCTAACACCAGGTATTCATTTTGAAATTAAGAGTGTACCACGAAAAAGTTTTGTTTGTGTGTATCTACAAACTGGTTTTACCAATTAAAGCTGTAATCTTTTCTTATGCCCATAACTTTATGAAATAATTTCATAACTATACGTAATCCCTGCTATAAAGACATGTGTTGAATTTCAAGGCTAAAATGCTTTTTATCCTTTTTTTTGAACTGGGTATTGAACTCAGGGCCTCTACCACTGAGCTACACCCCCAGCCTATCTTTTCTTTATATGGTTGGAGAAAATATATAAATTTGGAGAGGAGAAAAAGTAATCTGATATTATATATGCCAAGAATCATAATATAATTTTTTCTAAAATAAATGAACTTTGACCCGGGGATTTAGCTCAGTGGTTTCGCCGCCTGCTGTGCAAGTGGTTGGTGCCGGTTCAATCCCCAGTACCAAAAAATAATAATAAAATAAAATAAAATAAATGAATTTTGAAGTTTTAAGTTTTAACTGAAATAATCTCTATTGGTAGCTTCTACTTCATTGAGGCTTTTTTTTTTTTCTTTTTTTGGTACCGGGGATTGAACTCAGGTCCTTGCACTTGTGCAGCAGGCGTTGAAACCACTGAGCTAAATCCCCAGCCCAAGGCTTTTCTTTAAACGAGTCTTTATTACCTCATAGTCTGTTCTAAGTAGGTAAAATTATACTAACTGAAGGGGGTATCTTTTTTAATCAGTCACCAGCTGTATGTGCCAGGTAAGTAAGATGAGGCCAACTGGATTTATGGGATGAGTTTTCAATAGGCAACATCTCCCTTGACCAAAAGTTTGTTACTCAGGTTTTAGAGAATAGAAAATTCTGAGGCCAGGGATTTAGCTCAGTGGTTTTGTCACCTTCTGCGCAACCACAAGGGCCTGAGTTCGATCCCCGGTACCAAAAGAAAAAAAAAAAAGAGAGAGAGAATAGAAAATTCTGTAAAGGGCCAGGGATTTAGCTCAGTGGTGCTGCCGCTTGCCTTGAAAGCACAAGGTCCCGAGTTCGATCCCCGGTACCAAAAAAAGAAAAAATTCTGTAAAGGAAAATAATTCTTGTTGGTCTTGGTAATAAAATGGAGCTTTCAAAATATCTTGAGTTTGCCATCTTTTTCACCATCATTCAGCAAAAACTCCCCAAACACCTACTATGGAAATATAAAGACATATAAACCACAGACCTGCACTCATAAGAGAACACATGTACATGACAAGTACTGTAACCAAA